GGGGGTGGGGTGCGGCGCGGCGCCTGCCTCGCCCGGCGGGAAGGGAGGCCTCCCGGGCCTGCGGCCCTGCTTGTGCTCGTCTACCTCCTCCGCGTTAGACCCGTCTTCTTTGTTTCTCTGCTTTACGCTGCAGGGAAACTCCTACCCGCCGCCACCTGCCCGGGGAGCTTTCTCCCCGTCCCCCTGCAGTTTCCAGCCTTTGTACCGCTCTCAGCGGGTGCCCCACAAGCGTTCGGGGGAAAAAACAAACAAACAAACAAAACCCAAGTCGGTACTCTGTAGGCTAGGTACTTGGTTAGAGGAGGCTTGTCGTGTGAGAGATGTCTCCGTGTGCGCAAAGGGGCTGTGTTTGAACGCTGCCGCTGTAGCTGCCAAAGAATAATTTACCCGAATCAGCATGTCTATGAGGCAGTTTGCATACAATAAAGTTATCTGTGGAAAGGTGATCTTTATTCAGTTGAAGTTGCCACGTTCATACCCAGTGAATTAAGGAAATGCATCCTACATAATCAGTCAAGCTAATGCTTAGGTATGCATAACTGAAAAAATCTGAGTTTGAAAGTGAGTTATAAACAGTTTTGGACCGTATGAAGCTTCAGTTGATGTGATTTGGAATACTTGTTACTGCCTTGCATGAAAATTTTAGGTGTATGAAACAATAATAAAGTTTTAGCGGTTTGTATGAGCTCGCTGAATTTTTTTATCCTCTTGTCCATGTAGTTTATGTGGACAAAAACGTACAGGTTTTAGGCCCATATCAGAAGTCATGAAGTGTTGCCAAAACCAGCAGCGGCAGAGACTTGACCTGCTTTCACTGACCTCTAGTTTGTAGGAAATTAGTGGGGTTTTTTCTCTTTTAATAAATTTGGCAGGAAGTACCAAGAAATTTTGTTTTCACAGCCCTATACATCATTAGAAAGAAAACTGGTGTTCTGTTATAACTGACAGTTACTAGAAATCTCCCTTCGCAACTTACTCTTTGGGAACTGGGAAGGAAGCATGGCGCTACAGCTGTAAGTTTGAACTGTGTTATGTTTTAGTTGCCTGTTTTTTAGAAGTGTGAAGAAGAGCTCTGGTATTGTAGTTGGATTCAGGGAAGTGTTTAAGAGTGCATGAAAACATCAGTCGTCAGCAGTATGTCTATCATAACTTTTTCGTTTTTTTTGCTACTATTTTTATTGGGAAAAATTGCAGGGTTTTGGATAGGGAGGGGCTGCAGGGTTGACCTTTGTGGGCAAAGATGATGAACGGCCTAATACTGGTTGCAGCTGGATCCAGCTGTCTCTGACACTGACGAAAACAGCCCATCATACACCAAAATTTCAAGCAGAGGAGCTCAAGGCACCTGTGCTCAAATGCAGTTAACAAAGAGCAGCAGCCACCAGTGGCAGGAGACACGAAAAGATGCACAGGAAGAGTCATATGAGGAGATATATGAAGAGATGCGCTTGCAGGTAGTAGAAAAAGAAGCCACTATGCACTGGCCCAAACATCCTGTATTTCCCATGGCCTCACTGAAGGGAGGGACTGAGTGCCATCCACACAGAAAACAAGGGAAGTTGACAGTAGAAAGGCTGGAGACCAGGCTGTCGTTGGCATAGGGCAGTTCATGGCCTCCCACACTGGTTACCCCTGCCGCCCCCTCACTTCTGAAACCCTGGCATTTATGCCCAATACACTACCTGAAAGTGGCTTTTGAAAAAAGAAATTGTGCCACTAAGATGCTTGTGCTTTGAATTTGTCGTAATAATAACAACTTTTTTTCTGTTCCCCACAGAAGAATATACTAGTCAAAAATGACGTAAAGATCGACAAAGATGGTCTCACTGATCTCTATATTCAACATGCCATTCCCCTGCCTCAGCGTGACTTACCAAAAAGTAGATGGGGGAAAATAATGGAAAAGAAAAGACAGCAAAATGAGTCGAAAAGTGAGAATACAAGGTAATTTAGCTTTTACTGGGCTAGACTTGGGAGAATTTAGGACAATGCATTTAGTTTAATCTTTGCCTGATTAATGAAACTTGTATAGCTTTTGGGTATTGTTACAGTTTACAGAGAACGTCGTGTCAGGTCTCCTACATCAGAAGTGTTAGATTCTACTACTGCAATAACAGGAAAAAGGGGAAGATAATCTTTTTTTTTGTCATCCAAATGTTTATTAATGGTATCTAAATTATAGTGCCTCTTTTTGTAGAATCACAGAGTGGTTTGGGTTGGAAAGGACCTTTAAAGGTCATCCAGTCCAATCCCCCTGCCATGGGCAGGGACATCTTCAACTGGATCAGGTTGCTCAGAGCCCCTTCCCACCTGACCTTGAATGTTTCCAGGGATGGGGCATCTACCACCTCTCTGGGCAACCTCTTCCAGTGTTTCACCACCCTCATAGTAAAATAAAATTTCTTTCTTATATCTAATGTGAATCTACCCTCTTTTAGTTTAAAACCATTACCCATTGTCCTATCGCTACATGCCCTACTAAAAAGTTTGTCCCTATCTTTCTTATAAGCCCCCTTTAAGGACTGAAAGGCCGCAATAAGGTCTCCCCGAAGCCTTCTCTTCTCCAGGCTGAACAACCCCAACTCTCTCAGCCTGTCCTCATAGGAGAGGTGTTCCATCCCTCTGATCATTTTCGTGGCCCTCCTCTGGACCCGTTCCAACAGGTCTATGTCTTTCTTGTGCTGAGGACCCCAGAGCTGGATGCAGTACTCCAGGTGGGGTCTCACCAGAGCAGAGTAGAGGGGCAGAATCATCTCCCTCGACCTGCTGGCCACGCTGCTTTTGATGCAGCCCAGGATACGGTTGGCCTTCTGGGCTGTGAGCGCACATTGCTGGCTTAGTCCAGCTTTTCGTCCACCAGTATCCCCAACTCCTTCTCGGCAGGGGTGCTCTCAATCCCTTCATCCCCCAGCTTGTATTGATACCGGGTTGTTGGTACATTTCAAGATACTTTATAATGAAGAAAAAGTAATTTTTTTTTTTCACGTTATAATTGTTAAATAATAATCATATTTACAGTGTTTAAGAAAAGTACCAAAAGCATGTTTAATTATGCTTGCTCCCTGGTCTAATCTAGAGTCGAGGTGTATGCTCCAGCAGTTTTGTGTGTCAATTAAAATGAACATCTACTTTCTGAAAGAAACATTCTGCCTTGTTTTTAAAACCTTTCTGTTTGTATTTGATCAGAAAGCAAAATCTTCCTAAAAAGTTTATTTTACTGAATCTGTTCTCCTCCCGACCTCCCCCCTGCCCAAGACTTTGACGTGTGATGTGCATGGGTGGCGTTCTGATTTAGCTTCAGCAAAGGAAAGGTGGATGGAAATTATCATTGTAGTTTTGCGGTATTACAACTTGTTGATTTCATGAGTCTGTTTTAGCTTTACTGGGGTTTCTAACTAGGAAGAGCTAAACAAATTCTGTCAAGTGAGTTTGTTTTTTTTTTTTTAAATTTTTTTATCAAAGAAATAAAGATAGCAGGCTGGATGTTTTTGAAAGAAGGAGACAATGTTAATTTTTAGATGAGAGAATGGCTTCATCAAGAGTTTGTATGTAGAATAAGTTTAGGTGCTCTTATTTTGGTATGCTAAAAGTCAGTAATGGTTAAACCTATGTAGTATTTGCTGGGAAAATAGGAAGTAAAAGGAGATATGTTTAATCTACCAGTCTGCTTTTCTTTACTGATTGCGCTTAGCACTTAACATCTAGCATGCTAGGCTTAGTCTTTTGCTCTGTTAGACAGTTTTAAGATTTTCCAGCAGTTATATTTTTGTTTGTATTACATCTTTCATACTTAACAAATATGCTGGCAAAATACTGTCTAGAAAAGTTAATCTTTTACTGCTAGTATTACTGATGCCAGAGAAATGGGAGAAACAGACCTTCAGCACTTTCAGTAAGTAAAAGTTGTGCACATAGAAAACTTCAGGTTTAGTATATTCATGGAAAGAATCAAGGAAGTTCAGTGATCTTTTTGGATGTTGAAATATTACACTTTTTCTCATAGTTGTGTGCAGCACTTCAGCAGAACTGGCACGATGCCATTGTGCAGAGGAGGAAGTAGAACTTGGCATTCTTGTTTTTAAAAACAAAACAAAATTCCTAGGTATTGTGAGGCTGTAAGTTATGTGCAAGTCAGAGATGGGAACTAAGCATGCTGTTAGTTCAGTTTGGAGGACGTCAGATAAACTGATTGATTGTATGAACAACACGAGCTTTCTGATGAGTTCCTCTGTGGAAAGCACAGCTTTACAACATGTGCTGGAATTAATATGAGGCTTGGAGACTTCATCAGCACAGCTCAGTGTGTGTTTGCATGCCTCTGTTAGTTACAGATGGGAGGTAAAAACACACTGAAATTTAGAAGTCGGTGTTGAATATCGTATTTAGTTTTACTGCTGCTGATTGATAGCATGCGCTAAAAGACTTGCTGTATATCAGCTGAGCTGCAGTAACGTGTTACACCTTAATAATATAATGAAATATCTGAGGTCACAGGTGATTGTTTATACATCTTATTACTGAATATTTGAGCTTGCAGACAATCATACCAAATAAAAATGCAGTCTATCAACTTCAAACATTTCAGAAAGATTTGTTCTCGGGGACAGTTAATTTTGTAGATCCATAAGATCATCTTGCCTGCTGTAAGAAAGAGGATGGTATGAATCTCAAAATGTATATATAGTTTCTGAAGTGCCATCAAGTCTGGAGACTCTCACCTGCAAACTCTCACTCTCCAGGAGCATTGTGGCTGTGCATGCTCAGAGCTGTGGCCTTGGTAGAGCTCATCATTTCTCCTTAGTCACCTGAGAGGCCACTTCAGCATCCTCTGAGAACTGCTAATGTGCTGATAATATGGACTTCAGTGTAAAACATGGTACTTCTGACCAGTTTCAGACATTCACAGAAGAGGTGGTCACCTGCCCGTTTTGGTAACAGGTGAATATTTAGAATAATCAGGGGGTGGGAGCTAAAACATGCGCTTCTCTCTGGTTTTAGGGTGCTACCTTAAGTACCAGGCTAAGCTGGACAAGAATAGAAGCATTTTTCATTAAATTGTCCTCATAATCAGGAGTTGCTCAGGGGCCATCCTGACTACGTGAGTAATCACTTGAAACAGTGGAAACCCAGATTGCTCATGTAGAGAAGCTTTTGCTTCCTCTAGTAAATCTTGTATTCTTTACCATGCACTACAAAGTAAACAGCAGGATGAGAGCATGCCCTCCGTCCAGCCCAGCCCAAAGTGTGGCTAGAACATTCCTCTAGGATGTAGGAGATGCGCATTGAAATCTAGGTTTCACAGAGAGTGTCCTGCAGGAGGGAACACGATTCCAAAATGGTTCTTTTCAGCTGTTAGCTAGCATCTGTGTCCTTCCTTCAGAAGAGTGCCGGCTAACATGAGTCCTGCTCTGAAGCTTTTAAGCTGCCTGTACTTTATATAAATAAAGTGAATGTCACACCCAAGGTTCTGTGTTCTTCTGTGAGCCATGTATCTAAAAATTAGATGTGACAGTTCTTGATGATACAGCATCCAAATTTATTTTGGAACTTTCCCAAAGTGTTTCTCTGGGAACGTTCTCTGTATTATAGCATGTGGTCATTTGTACAAGTGCTACAGTTCTAAAATTCAGTTTAGAATAGATAACAATCCTCCTAGAATTGCAGTTATTTTCTGACTTACCAGTCCTCGCCAAGCTGAATTAAAAAAAAAAATCTCCATAGGAAAAGCAGACTTCTTATGTTAAGGAAGGTATCTGAAAAAAGACATAAAATTTTTTCTTTCACATAGCTTGCAAACTAGCTTTCCAAAAAGGCTGCTGGGGAATGTGTTCCTTGTCAGGAGTGTTGAATAAATTCTTGGACAAAGCCAAAAGTACAAAGTACAAAAGTACAAAAGAACAAAAAGTATCATGTTGCATTTTTGAAGTGTGTGTCAGCTTTTTAGACTTTTCCAATGAAATTGCACTCCTTAATTTAATGGATGTGTTAAATACTATTGTTGTTTCAGTTAAATACTACTGAAACAACAGTAGTATTTAACATATCCATTAAATTCAGTTAAATACTACTGAAACAACTTGCCTGGCTGAACACTCCTGGTCTTGGAAGCTAATCTCATTTTGTAGAAGCTCTCCGAGAAATGGCATCTACTGTAGATAGAAGCCAAAGAGTTGTGTCTGATCTCTTGACAAACAAGTCCCAAATGAATTGAAGGTCTCTCTTTGTCTCTATCAGTTCCGGGAACCTGACAAACAGAAAAAGAGGAGGATTGTGTGACATATGTTGTTGTGAACAGATAGTAACGTAGAAGCAAATTTGAATAAGAGCTGAACTTTCTCTTGCTCTATGAGCTCTTAAATTGTGACTCCTTTCATTTTTTTTAAAGAAATCCCTGGTCTGGACAGAAATTGTGCAAGCAATGTGTAATTTCTTAATATGTGAGGTTTATCAGCAGCTACTAATCTAATGTTGTTCCAAGTCAAACGAATGGAGTCTCTGCTTACGGTTTATTCTGTTGAGATACCTGACATCAATATTGTCAAATTCATTAATTACAAATTAATGAATCTATTTCATTGTTGAAAACACTATAGTTCAACTTTTATTCCTCTGTTTAATACACGATGATTAAACAGTAAGTGTGTACTGAAAACTGAAGTTTATAAACAGGAATATTATATAACTTAATGGTGGTTTGTTTTTTTTATTTGTTAAATCTGCACTTTCCAAACACTTTCTCTTTGTCATTCTTGAGCAATGCTTTTTTAAAACTCTAAATTCATGTAAGGTGAGCTATGATAACTTTGTGCTTTATTTTTTGGCAGGCAGGATGTTTTCTGATTCTACTGTTTTGACATTAGCTTGATAGTATTCCTTTTTCATAAATCAGTTGCTACTGAATTGGCCAGCTCTGACTACACATAGGCTTAAGGGCACAGATATTATTAAATATATTATTTTAAAAAAAAAGTCATTAAATCAGCTTAGGGTTCCTGTTCAAAGACAGCTTATTTCAAAAACACGTACCTTTTTTTTACTTAATGTTTTCATTCCTTGTCTAATAGTCTTATAGATTATCTTAACATTATGATTTAGAAGCATCAGAATATTAGATGCTGTTCTTGTAGGTAAGGTGGCACGCATTTTCCCAAATATTCACCTTTTAAAATACTTAACAGCTATATCTCTTTAGTTATTCTGTAATAGCTACAGTGGTATAAGCATACAGTCTTTGGTCGTACAACTGTAATTGTCTGTCTAGAGAGTTCCTCACACAACCCTCGTCACTGAGGAACACTATTCCTCACACAACCCCCTGCCCCATCCCCCCTTTATATTTTGGAAGCAATTTCTATTGCCTAAGTTTGGAGCAGCTAAGACCTTAATGTTAGTATTTTGGGATATATTTTTACTTTAGGCAAGATTAAATTCATTTTCACTACTCACATCTTGGATATGCTATTTTTGGACCATCTAGCTTGTGTTTCTGAGAATTTTACAATTTGTATTTTCAGTGTTACAACAGTGGAAGGTTTAAGGAAACGGCCATTAATTGTATTTGATGGCAATTCAACAAGTACAAGCATAAAGGTGAAGAAGACGGAGAACGGAGCTGCTGATCGCCTAAAACCTCCTCCAGCGGGAAGCACCACCAACACTGTTAGAAGATTATCAGTTCCTTCAAATGCCTCAACATACATTTCAGCCTCCAGTTTTTCAGAGGACGCTAAGCTGGGAATGAGGAATAACGAGGCTAAGCAGAACAATATTTCAAAGACTAACAGCAGTGTGTTGGCTAGTCTGAAGGTGTACCCTTTGTCTCCAGTAGCAGGAACTACTGTTGTGAAGTTAAAGAGAGCTGTTCCAAAAGAAGAATCTGATTTGCCGGTATGTACGTTCAGTATCTTGTTTTGCAGCTTTTTTTAATTGAAACTTGCAGGAGGCAAAGGTAGACTCTTGTGAGAGTTTTCAGGATTATTTTATTTTGGAGTAATAGTAGAGTCTTTATTTAGAAACAGGCAAAAGAGTAGCTGGTTTGGGAAAGATTAGAAGGAAAGTAATGAAGTACTTTGTACTTGTCCATGGAAAACTTCTGTGTGAGAGGGGCAGCTTTGTAGAAAACATGCATGTAATTTTAAAATGAGTAGGTAGGTAATACTTAAGGTGGTGCTGGTAGCAGTCAAATAAAACACAAACAAAATAATCCTACTGGTAGGTCTGAGGGAGAGAACAGGTCTTACAGAAAAACATGAACAGCCTTAAAGGGAGGACAAGTGGTCTGTTTTCTGTAGTAGGGAAGAAAAAAATGGAATGATAACATTTGTAACAATCACACTTGAATGGTTGAGTAGGACAAGCTTTCATTTGTCAAAGTGAAGGAAGAGATGTTACGGGAGCTGAAGTGAGATGCTGAGAGCTGTAGAATTTATCCTTAGAGGGGGAACGCCATCTGTTTTCAATCTCACATAGGAATTGGCAAGCTAGAGGAAGGAACTGGATGTGAAAATCTGGAGAGCTGCCTAGATTGTGGGTCTGAATGAGAAGCCATAACAACAAACCATACTAGTTGAAGTGAGAGGCCAAAGGTTGAGTGCTCATTTTGAGCCATGGTGATCTTAATCAGGTACCTGGGCTTCTATAAGATGCTGAGATCTTGAACAGGAGGGTGCTGTTGTCAAGTAGAAGACTGATGACTGACCTGTTAACCATAAAGGTAAATAGTTATTTTCTTTCTGCAAGTTAGATTCAGCTGTAAACAAATTTTATGTAGACAAGAGAACTACACTACAGATGAGGGCAAAATTAAGCTGATGAGCGGAAGTGATGGGAGAAGAGCTAAGGCAGGATACATGAATTCAGGAGGGCGTGTCTTTGAAAGTGTGCTGAATGTAGCTGCCAGTTGGGGAGAAAGATAGAACAGTGGTTAATTTTGACAAAGGTGTGATTAGTCTTTAAGGGCTTGTCAGTGAGCAAGGAGCAATGGGCCATCTCCTCTTTAAAACGTGCCATGAGGTAGAGGTAAGTCTTACACTTGTGTTGTATTCCTTCATGATACAAATGAAGGAATTTTCACATTTCTACTGGAATACGGGAATATCTGGAATAACTCTGGGCTTCAAAGGAAGAAATAGAAATATCTGTTCTCAGTGGAACTGCAGAGGGAGCTTTAGATATGCAGTGTGCAATTACATTGCTTAAAATTTTCCCAGGACACTAGACCTAACTTCTGTTTTCTCAATATTGCCTCATGAAATGCTTTCTATTCATCTTTTTTTTTTTTTTTTTTTTTTTTAAAATCCTTTCATGAAAGAATGCAGGTAATATCCTTGCTGCATGGATTGGTAGGTTCCATCAGAATTCTGTTAAACATGAGCACCTATACATGTGACTGTTCCAAAAGACAGCTTTAGCAGCTGTTACAAGAATCATGGCTGAGGCCCTGAATCAAATTTATGCTTTGATTCAGACTACCAGTATCACTAATTTATTTTAGTATTTAGAACTCTTTTAAGTATTGGTCAGATCTGAACCTACAGAGCTTTTGAAACTTGTTTAGTATACACCTCACAGCTTCTTTATATTTAATTTAAAAGTTTTGTAGACACAATGATGAACACTTTTAAGTGACACTGTGTAACTGACACTTGACTTTGTCTTAGCCACAGTTTACGCTGTTGAAGTTAGTACCGTTAAGTTCAGTCATGCCTTGGTTAGTGTTGGTCAGACACATTTGAAATTAGGCAAGTGTGTTGTATGGATGTTACTTTACAGTCTGAAATTAAAGAACGTGATATTGAATAATAAGTGATGCAGCCAGGAAGAATCAGTACACTTGGCAGGTGGCTGTAGAGTGTAAAGCCTGATGTGTTTTTAGTATAATGACAGCAACGACAATTTCAAGCAAGTGACTGTTTTGACTTTCAAGAAAAAATGAAGTTCTTGTGCTGAATAGCACAGAACTATCCTTCTGATCTTTGGGTCTAATTCCCTTCAACCTTTCAGTAGTTGCAATCCACTGTTGCTGTAAATAAAGTAACATTTAAACTCTTAAGGAGAAGAGGGATCTCTAGATTGTGTTCCCCAAACCAGTGTGTTGCAGAATGTTCTCGAAAACCTGTATACCTGTCTTTACTTTGCTTGTGTAAACTGTTAAAGCTCTAATTTCTCAGATTTTTTTCTTATTTTCGATGATGAAAGGTAATTATTTCACCACTTCAGTCTCCCATTGTTTTACATTGGGCTTGCTTGCTTTTTTTCTGGTTTCTTTGGGAAGGGCTTGAAAGATGAGTTCATCTGAGACTTTGGCAATTATTTCCCTTTTTTATACAGGTCATTACAAAGGAAGACCTACTTTTCCTCCTCTTTTTCTGTCATTGTTACTGTTTGACAAAAGTAAATTAGTTTCCTAGTTGTATTTTTATTTTTTCTTATACAATCCCATTTCAACAAGAATTTTAAGAAGGCAGTCTGAAATAACTTTAGAAGTATGTTTTGAAACTCCAGTGTGTACCTGTTTCTAAGCTGCATAATTGAAAGATATTTTTGCATAACTAATTGTAGGATTAAGAAAAAGCAAAAGATATATATATATATATGATTTGCAGGTAGGCAAATTAAGTGGCTTTATTTTTGTCTTCTCTAGAGAAGTTCTGTGATATTTAACTTTCTCCACAAGATGGCAATAGAAGGCTGTTGTAGTAGCATATAGCTGAGTACAGCAATAGTCAGTACTAGATTTGAACATGGCAGGTTAATTACTAACTGCTACTTGCTCAGTGTATCTAAGAATATTTACATGTTTTCTTGTATTCCAGAATGACCTAAAGCCTACAGAAGCAAAGAAGAAAATCCAGCATGTTACATGGCCATGAAGTAGCTAATGGTGCTTGAAACATAAATGTTACTTCCATATTTTCAAACAGATAAGTCATATTTAAACAGTTTAAGTACAATTCTTTTTAAACCTTACAGGGATTCAGATTGCTGTGAAGTTTTAACAAGTTTAAAAGTTCCCTGTTGTAAAGCTGGAGTCATTATCACAAGTCACCTTACGAATGTCTACTCTTGTACACCAAGTAGTTCATTACTTCTTTAAAAGGTGGTAATATTACAATATACTAAAATCCCCACTTTTAGTTTTCAAGATTATTATAGTTCATCTCCTGCATGTCCTTATGATTCACACATATAAATTTTTTTTTTTTTTTTTGTTTCAGTAAGATTCAGTTTTGTTCCACTTCTGGTTAAATAGTTAAAATAGCTATTGAGATTCAGAGTGATCCCAAGAGCCTTCTTGGCTTCAAAAAGAGAATTCATTTAGATGAGAAAACTGACCACTCTGCTGATAAGATAGTCTGAGACAAAATTTTTTTCCTTTTTGTTGCACAGAACAGGAGTGTAGAATTTACAGTGCAAGTTAGGTTGGTAATAAGAGATGAACTATTCAACAGCATTACTTCAAATTGAAGTTTCTCTTATTGACGTATGAAATAAGAAATGCACAGATGAAAGTATGTTATTAGATTGTTTGATAGGAATCTTCGAGAGGAAGTAGTGAATGGATTAGTGCCGTGTTCCCTTAAATACACAGGCATATTTTATACATGCATAAGTGTAAAAATGTGCTGATGTAGCAAATTTGCTTGTTTTCCTGGTTACAATCATGCTTATAAAATATGGGGAAAACCTGTGGAATGCAGGCCAGTGCTTTCTCAACTTAACAGTTGGAGAGAGACAGGGATAGGAAGACAAAGAAGTACCTTGAGAGCATTAGCGTATGTAGTTGCACTCTAAAAAAAAAAAAAAACAAAAACAAAAAAAACCAAAACAAACAACAAAAAACCAAACCAACCTGTTTTCTCTTCCTTTGATAATTTAAGATGGATGTTGGTTTTCTGTGAAACTTGGTGTTTCATCTGGATTATTGGTAGTGCCTTATAAGGCAGAAATCCAGTTAAGTTGATGGAAATATTTTTTTAAAATCTCAGTGGCTCAGGGTGAAGCCAATTTAGATCCATTTTAGATGTGGATGGTAAATAGTAATAACGCTCCCAGACTTAGTAAAACAAAAACAAAAAAAGGGTCAACTTCTGAATCCACTTAGTTAACCCACTAAAAGAAGCTGTCAATAGTGATCTGAAAGCGTGTTTACGTTTTTAACATTGGTTAATATTGAAACCAAGAACTAGCTTAATTCGTTACTGACAGAAGTTCTCCATTCACTGTTACGACACAAAAGGCACTTCTCGAATGCTGTAAAATGGTAAGAATGTGTGTGTTTTGAAATATTGTGTGCCGTTTCCCTTTTACTAAACACTTGTGCAGGTTTTGTACTTGAGTACAGCAAACTTTAACGTAATGTACATTTTGTATGTAAAGAGTTGTCTTTTAAGTAGCCTTATCCTATTTAAATAAATTCAATTAAAAGCAAACAAAGTAGTGCTGACTTGTTTTTGTGGTGTAATTAAGCTTGTTCATTTTATATGGTTATATTTCAGTGGACTTGAAGTGATTAGAACTTAAGAAAAGGCTTACAGGGTAAAAGGCTCAGTAGCTGCTTTGGAGTTTTAGCAGCAGTTAGTATCATGTGAAGTGCTGGTCCTTGCACTGGTGTAACAGTCTGGTAGGAGTTCTGTTTTGTGGGTGGCTTCTTGGCAGTGGTTTAGAGTCTAGGCTATATTTTGTTGTAGTTCCAGTTGCTAGGAGCACGTGTGTGTTGGTATGTGGTAAGGAGTGATATACAGAACTGTGCTGGAATAATAGCACGATGCTGCTATTGCATGGTAACAGTCTTGTTTTCAGGCCAGTATGCTTTCCAGCCTTGTCATGTTTCACCTGTCTTTCCCCAAAGCTGGGACCATTTTGCCGTCTGTTGTAGTGCTTGGGGGGGCAAGATGCAAGCCATGCTGTTCTTACAACTTTCCACTGCCCCCTTAGCTAATAGTAATCCTTCTTCTCTCAGCAAAGTACTAGAGCAGAGCTGCAGTGTTCTGGGTGATTGCCAGACCCCAGAGGAGAGAGTAAGTGAGGTGCTTGCCCTCCTTTGGGAGGTGTGGGTATAAGAGGGGTTTTTATGGCTATTCTTTACTCCAGCCTTCATCATAAAATGAAGTCACCAAAGATAGAATTTAGTCATTCAGTGAGATCAGATTAGCACATTGTGCACTTCAAAAATGTCAGCCAGCCAAGTTCTTCAAATGGTGTACAGTAAACCAAATCTGATCTGATGCATCTATTTAGCTTGTTGAACTAATGAGAGAGAAATGACCTGTGAGCACTTTACACTTGGTACAAAAAGAGACAAAATCAAGAGTTGTGGCAGGAGCTAGGAGCAAACTTTATAAGTATATTCCTAACTCTTCTTTCCACATCTGAAGACTCCTGTCGGAAGTGTAACATCCTACTTTCCTCCTTTTGCTGGATACAAATGAATTCCATCTGGAAGGTGTACCAGGATTTTACATTGCATAACATGGCCATATTTCTTGAAGTTTGCTTTGGGAAGAGAGTTATCTTCCTTTGGATTGATTCCTCTTGATTTTATTGTCCTGCCAGCATGCTGTTGTTGACAGTTGCCTTTGCAGCAAACGTAGCAGAAATTATGCTAGAGCAGAGAGTGTTACGTATTGCAATACAGAACAAAATTAAAGCATGCCCTAGTATAGGAGTTAAACTTCTGACTTTTGCAAAGATTAAATGTCTTTTGAGTTGTGTCGACCTCCTTGCTTGCTGAGAACAGTAATATTTTGGTTTTGAGTTCAGAGCCTATGAACACATTTTTATTAGCAGCAGTCAATTCAGTGTTTTCATACAGTTGTTCAGTTTTGCTGATAATTTTCCCACTGATTTCAGTTAGTAGAAGACTATGTTGTATCAGCAGGGCCCGTATGAGGATTGTCAAAACTCCACAGTTTCATAATAACTGGGTGCAAAAAGGGTTGTGTTTGTATGGCTCTTACATTGTGTTTCTTCAGACTGTGAAAGCATTTTATTTGTAAATATCTAATATGTAAATACAATTAAAGCACAATCACAATTTTGGTTTAAATGATTTTATTTTTAAAAATACAATGTGCAGTGTAATGTCGACTAACTGTAATACTGACACTGTCAATCAGAACTTGTACTTCACACAATGATCAGCTAGTCATGCAATAAAATAAGTACCTGTTATGAAGCACTCCCATTTCAACTGTTTTATCGTTATCTCTTTATGGCATGGCACAAATCCTTGTACACTTAAACACCCTCTACGTTCGCGGTCTTTCTACACACTTGACAGCACACACTAGTCACATAGCTCAAGAACACTGAGGTGAGACCACAGCCTTATTGAAATTGAATGGTGTTTGCCGTGGGCTGAGGGTTTCACCCTGAATATCCATCTATGAATGTATTGTGTGTGGCCATTGTAATCCTTGAACTGTATCACTTGCTTGTAACTGGAATATTTAGTGGAAGGCAAAAAAACAACAACCCAAAGGAGTATGTAATGTCAATAACACCCAAATGGTTTTACATCTCAGGTTTTGCATTAGTTTTGGTTAGCTGTAGAAATCTTAAACACCAACACTGCTACTAGAGATTTTGAAGTTGTTTTCCCTCCAGATTTGGAGAGTTTGAGGAAAAAAGTTAAGTGATGTTAATAGTACAGCAAAACACAGAGTGGCAAAGCTAGTTCCGAACATCCGTGTATTTCAGACTATATATTGTAAGCATGGCTTTTCTCCCCTCTCCCCACCTCTTATTTTGAGCTTTAAATATCCTTCCCACATTCAGGGCAAAGGATGTCATCCCTTTCCGTGAGGAAGCCACGACCCACTAACGAGAGAGAGCACTTCTTACAGTTAAAGCAATCATTATGCCACTGCCGTTCTTCAAAGGAGATGTACTTGGTTCCTCCGAGTCCTGTTTGAAAACCAAAAGCATTCTGTTACAAAAAAAAGAATAGCACACAGCCCTCAACTGATGCTATTTTAGACTTCCCTCAGGGATTGCTTTGGAGATCTGACATATGGTAGTGAAAAAATGCCATTGTGACAAATCTATTTGTTGCTGTGCTAATTTTGCTACCCTTATTCTGTAGCAAGTAATATTTTCATCCTCAAATAGTTCTGTTGCTTTCAGCTAAGTTAGTGAACTAGACTGTTATCACTGGTGATAATGGCAGAAAGGAACTTTCAAGGGATGGCACTACGATATACAGCAGAAGAAAAGGAAAGCAACTGCCTCTGAACAGAAGTCTGATAGTTTTTTACAGAATGCTTTATGGCGTCCGAGTAAGTTAATTTTTTTCTGTAAAAATGCATTTAGGTCATTAAGAAAATCTGACAGGTTGCGTCATGACTTGATTCATCGCTTTGAAGGAAGAGTGCCTCAAGAAAAGAAGCAGGTTAGCAAAAAACTTTCAGGAGTTTTAATCTAAGGAGGTTATCATAAGGGGTATTGAAGTTGTACAGGAAAAGAGAGAAAAGGGACAGATGTCGTTTAGTAGTAATTATCTCTTGCTTAACCTCAGAAATGACAAGAAATAAAAGATCATGATGTTTGAATATGATGCATTGGTATGACTAGCTGGAAGTCAGTGAAAAGATTTAGTTGGGCATCTCTCTTACCTGATGAGAGGGGTTTTTGTTGTGTTTTGCCTTTAGTAGCAACATTTTGAAAAAACAGCATATGATAGAGAGGAGTGCAATATTGAAAAGAGAAATGCTTCTTTCACACGAACAGAAAACAGTACCGGTGGCGTTATGCACTGACTTTTCTAGGAGCTATGCAATCAAGCATATGTTAGTGAGGGACAGGCGTAGGGCAGAGCAGTAACAATAGATAAAGTGGTCCAGATACAACTCAGATTTGCAGTCTTGGACTGTATGGATCATGCTGTTAAATGTTGATTACTTCATGGAGGAAGTTATATTTTTATGCTAAGTGTTTCATAGTAAAGCTCGGCACAGTTGCTCCTTTAATTACTCTTGTACTGGAAAGCAGTATCTAAAAGCCTTGTGATTTCTCAATTGCTGTCCTGAAAAGTCAGGGAAGAAATGGTCTGTGCTACAACACGAGGTATAAGCCAGTTAGACACTTTCTGCTGGCGGAAGGACTGTTGTTGCTGAGGTCAGTGATCCCTCTAATGAACGCAAGTGGAATGATGTGCAGAACATGCATATCCCGTTACATGTGTAGCTCTGTTACTGTGTGTCCACCATGTTCCATGAAAAGGAGGAAACTTCAATTTAAGGACCTCTTTCATTTCTTTTTGTTAAGCACTTGAAAGGCATCATAAGTATTTAATTTTCACACATCTTGAATTGTATAGTGTCTTGAGTCTCTCAAGTTATTCAGAATGAATTCTTGAACCATTTTTAATATTAGAAGCAGTTCATTGAAAAAAAAAAAAACAACAAAATTTAAAGGCACTGGCCACGAGAGACCTACCACTGATTGGGTTTGTGCA